GTATATGTATGTATGTAGGTATGTGCATGTTATGTGTACGAAACTAAACGCTTATGTTCATGGTAATTTGCATCTTATATGGAGGGCTGGAATGAATGTACCTTTTTCGATTTTGTGCGTAGTGGTTACGTAGATATTTTTTAAGCTGAAAAGGATAAATCCCAGCCCTGGGTCCTAATTTACAACATGTTTTATTTTGAAAAGTGGTTGATTCTTGAAACAAGGTATTAAAAGTCGCACCTATATATTGTACTACATTTTTTACAGTGTAAACAATCAATTATAAACAGAAGTGCAAGCCTAGAGAGTGTGTCCCCTGTATAAAGATAAATAATTTGCCTTGTATTGAGAAATCTTTATGTAGGGCCTTAGGACACAGTGGTGGTGTCAGGATTTTCTTAAGGATGGGGGAAAGGTGTGTGAGGCAGTGGAAGGCTGATTTCTCAGAGTATAGCATAAGTTGGCAACATAGCTTAGCAATCCTGGCTTTGCCGAAGTCTGCTCTGTAAAAATATTTTATACTTTTGATGAGTTTCTTGTATTTTCTTATTTTTATTTTACATGTATTACTAATGAAATTTGGATTTAAATAGCTATTTGAAAATATGAATATTTATTATAGTGCTAGAACATTGGATTCATTGCATTCGGTGGATTCTTGCACTATATAAATTGTTACGATAGTTTTTTTTTTAATTTTATTTTTTTAAATTTTATTAAATTTCCTGGAGAAAAAATGAAAATAAACAAAAAGTAAATAATTCAAAGAATTGCACACTGTCGAGTAGCTCTCCCTACTAACATTACATTATAAAACACAAGAAAAAATATCCTAAAATTCAATTATTTTTCTTACTTGCGGTGTTTTAAATCTCTTCTAAACCATTCAAAATTGTACAAAGTTTTATCACAAACATCACAGGGAATATGTTACCAAATTTGTGGGAAGTTCTCAAATAAAGAATATTTAAATCCATTATTTCTACCATACTTATGTTTAAAAGTGAGAGTTTCTGGATATGTTCATTAATGACCAGGTATTCCAATATATCAAAATCAATTAAATTATGTAAGCATTTAACAACAAAAATAATGCTATGGAATTTCATTTTTGGAAACATATCAGGTAAGTTGAGGATTCTAAACCTGTCTGCAAAATCGCCTTCAACCCATACGCTATACATGATTGCTTAACTCAGCTTTCTCCCCTTCTGTGTAGCTTCTCTACGCAATTACCACAACATCAATCAGGCATTCCCATCAAGAATCGTGGTGTACAGGGATGGTGTTGGTGAGGGCCAGACACCAACCTTAATTGAGCATGAGCTCCCACAGATGCTCAAGTGCATTCAACAGCTCATTACTGGACCAGAGTGAGTACCTTTTAAAACAGTTAATTGTGTGTGTATTTGCTTATTCTATATATTTTAAAGCTCTGTCCAGATCACCAAATTTTCTCTCACAAAAAAACTGTTATATGCCCATATATAGTCATGATATGCCTGTATATGGTCATGATGTGATGTCATCATCACCATATTTAGGCATGTCACATGTTTTTATCAAATAAAATTTGTTAGCAGGGGTCCAAAGTCTCTTGGAACTGGCAGGAGTCTTCCGGAAATCTGGACGGCGTCCCACGCTCCCGCAAACTAGCAAGAATCTCCCGGAATTCTCTGAAAATTCATAATTTTGCATGTTTTCACTGTTTTATTGTCAAATTTTTCACGCAAACATTGCCTAAGGGTATCACTATGTGCAGAAAAATAAAATCAAATGTGAAGCTCATTAACCAGATCAGTGGTGGATTCAAGAAAAAAAACAAAACAAATATACGTCAGAGAGGACCATTTCCGGCCATCTAGAGGTGCCATATTTTCTTACTCCACCTCCATCCATGGTACGGCTGAGGTGGTTTAGACCCTGGTGAAAATACCTCTCCAGCCCCTACCCCCACCCTTCGACCCGTTACCGCAGATCTCCCGGAAATGACTTCTTCCAACTTGGGACCCCTGTGATAGTCTGGACAGGGCTTGATATTGCTTAAAGTTGTTCTCATATTATGTAATGCCCTGTCATTGAATTTGTTATAGGCAGTCTTGCTTAATTGTTATTAAGAAAAAACTAATGCCACAGACATGCTATCTAATATGTGTATAGATTTGAAATTAATGATTATTGAACTCATTGAAATTTTTGTTGCTGTTTAACAGGCCAGCCCTTACTATGGTGATAGTTAGGAAACGCATCAGCACTCGACTGATCCTGAATAGCAATGGTCAACTGAGCAACCCACTCCCTGGAACAATTGCCGATTCTGTTATTACCAAACCAGAGAAGTGAGTTTTAATTTATTCTTACAGTACGTTAATTAGACAAGGCTGTTTCCACCATAGCCATTTTACAAGTCTGTAAAATGTTTCCATCAAACACTATTTTTGAGCATAGAAAATAGTGATAAACAGATGTTTTGGTGAAGCAGTAAATCATTAGGCAGATTTCACAACCTTACGAAAACAATAACGAATACGTCATGTCATTATCGTCATTCTGTATCTGTATGGCTTACTGCACAGAACCTCACATCTGAGTATATTAGTGCAGGCGCAGAGTTTTTTCAAGACGTCCTACGCATTGAGTGCCTGGCTTTAGGCGACTCTTGTAGTTTTTTATTGCGAACAACTATGTCCTTCAATGCTAGCCTGTTATTTCAGGAGGACATCTGAACCTTCCGTTGCATTCAATTGGTAAAACTGGGTTTTACTTGGATTTAACCTACAATCTAAAACCAAACTGAATTATGGGCTGGGCTCATATACTCTGAAACACAGTAGTAAACCTGGGAATGAAAGAGGAATAAACTTGTTTAAATTACTATTTATTTAGGAGAGTTGTTAACATTATCTTTGTTTTTCTTTTCTTTTTTCTAGGTATGATTTTTACCTGGTTTCACAATCTGTGCGTCAGGGCACCGTCTCCCCAACCAACTATGATGTGGTGTGGGACAAGGCAAACCTCAAACCAGATCACCTTCAGAGGTTGACATACAAGCTAACCCACCTCTATTACAACTGGCCGGTAAGTCATTCTGAAGAATTTAACAGCAAATATTTCTCCTCATTCTCGTTCTGATTTAATAAAAACAATAAAGTAATGAATAATAATTAGACTTTTTTGTTGAATGGAAGTAATATACAATACAACTAAACATTACCCTCTTCTAATGCATTATTATTTGTATTAGGCCCTATTAGTGTTAAAAAATAATAAAATGTAAGTGTTAATTTGTTAACATAACATTGTATGTATTTTTTAAATGTGAGGTGTGTTATTTATACTTTTTGTAATTATGAAAGTACATATGACCATTGGCACTCAGGCCAGAAAAAAAATAGAAATTCCCTTCACCCCCATCAAACTTTCTTTAATAAGTGATTAATCATATTGGTGTTTCTATTTTTTTTTTTTTTTTTTTTTTTTTGTAGGGAACCATCCGTGTGCCAGCCCCATGCCAGTATGCTCACAAGTTGGCATTCCTTGTCGGACAGAGCCTTCACAAAGATCCACGTCGTGAGCTTGCTGATCGCTTGTTTTTCCTCTGAGAAGATAAAGTAAATAAAAAACTAAAGAAAATCAATCTTGTGCAGTTGACAAGAATTGAAGAAGCGTTCCATTTTCAGGAAAAAAAATTGGATTTTAGCTTTAATGTTGAAAGTTAAGAGCTGTGGGAAAAATTTAATTTTAAAGAAAAACACAGCTGTGATTTTTATGAGTGAAGTTGGTGGTAGGTCATTTCTTGGATATCTGTTGAGATAATAGGGGACAAAATATCTAGAAAGAAAAACAGAATTATAAACGATTTTTAAATATGGTTGTGTTTAAGAAGTATTGAATTGAATAATTCAAAAATTACTTGCGTTTTAGTGTATTCAGGGATAACAGAATATTAAATGAAGGTGCTATGTTTTCAATCCAGATAAACACGGCAATATCAAACAATTCCAATGATTTAGAGCACCTGTGATTATTTGTGGGGGTGATATGACATCAACATGGACATATATGAGACAATGTGCCCAACTTTCAGATGTACATAACCAATTCTGTGAATGACATATTTTCTAAACATTTTGTTTTAATAGGTTCTTATAAGGCTAGTAAAATGCTTTCATTTGCAGAATGTTGCTTAAATTGTATCAATATATTTTTTGTTATAATGCTTTTTTTTAATCTGTTATAACATGTTGGTCAAAGGAAAAGAAATACGACCATTTTAACAAAATCTTTTGTATTTTGATGTGTGTCTTAGTGGACCAAAGCTTGTGAATTTAGAGTAGATCTCTTGCATTCCTAGTTATTTTAACAGCATGATTTTGTATTATAAAATAAAAATGTTTAAACTTTCATTATTGGCTATTGTTCATTACTGAACTAATGCTTTTGTTTATTGCCGTTTTACAGTATATGGTGTATGGGAAGCAGAGGATATTTTTTTACCTTGCCTACACACTATTATTTGCATTTTTATCAGAAATGAAATTTGCATTTATAAAAGGTGTTAAGAAGTTGAACAATAAAATATTTAGTGTTCCTTAAATAAAACTCCTGAAGCAGTTTTTTTAATTCAAGCAACAAGTACGACTGTAGGGGTTAAAAAATAGATGCCTATCTGGAAAAGTAGAGTATTGCCATGAAGTAGAGGGCGATCTTTAAAAGATTGCAAAAGTCGTTCGTATTGTGCAAGTGCTGCGTCTTATCGCATACTGTACACAAATTTTGATCTCTTCGAATTCTAAGAAGACATTCTCCCCCCCCCCCCCCGGTAGTTTTTTTTTTTTTTTTTGTTTCAAAGCATGTATGCAAAATCAGGGCATCGGCCCTCTTGCTATTCTTTACTGTTTGGTTCAAGGTTAATAAACACTTTATTAATAAAATAAAAATGTACCCTGGGACTTGATAGACACAATACTTACCATGCTACTAATTACAACCACATACAAAATATTATAAAATGTAGAAATCTCGAATGTCTGAGTGCAATGGAAAGAATGTGTGTATGAGTTAGAAGATGCACTGCTTCATTCAATGGTACAGTGCACAGAATAGAATGAATTGTTTTTCAACAAATGAAAATAGACTTTCCATTTACCTTTTAAGAAGATATTCATTTATTTGTTTTATAATACACCAAAAATTTAAAACGTCAAGTCTAAATTTCTTCGTGCGGTGACATCAGGAAATAGCTAGGATTTGAACCTTTTGAAAAAAAGTCATTTTACAATGAATTGTTTGAAGTTTGCAGTGGAACAAAAATGAATCGCACAAAAATGTATGCAAATGAAATCAAGTGATGCATATAAATAAAATACAGGTATTAGCATTTCAATGGTGTAAAATGACAGGTGAGGAGGATTGCAGGTTTGGTATATTACAGTGGTTCCTATGGCTTTATAATGAATTTCAGCCTCAAACTTCTTTGAAAATTTTACTGTGTAGAACTATTTTTACTACAGTATTTTAATGATTTGAAATTGAGTGTCCTCTTCCATTGGCTAGCTGGATACGAATGATCGCACCTCCCTTTTCTGGATGCAAGCCACTAAATACGTTGAAGGGCAACATTCCACAAATTTAAGTACCAGTATTGCAGAATGACAGGTGTGTTAGGTCATTTCAGTGGCAGTGGTGGTGCCGGAAATTTGCCAACAAGGGGTCCAAAGTGTCTGACGGAGGGTTCCGAACCAAGGTGGTGACGAAGCCTCAATCGATGGGCTGGAATTAAAAAAATCCCAGTTAGGGTTCATGGAAGCGTTTTTATGACTTAATTTGGTCCTAAATTTGTTTTAGCATTATTTGGATAAGCAATATTTTATTTTTTTTTAATTAATCTGAGGACCTAGTCGTTCATTGGACGACAGGGGGTACAGGCTTGTCCGACAGGGTGTACAGGCTTGTCCGACGGGAAGGTGAAATTCCCACCCTGTTCCCCACTGGCGCCACCACTGAGTGGAGGGGAGATGTCACTGACGGGAAGACCGAAAATCAATTAAATAAGCAGCGAGTGCTGGGGCTGAAGCGGTATTTTCTCACATCTGTGAAAGTCTCTCCCTGCAACCCCCTTCCCCTTCAAATTCATGACCCGCACCTCGATCCCTGAGGGTTTTCCCAAGCGTTCCCCCACACCCCAGAGCAATTCATACTCACCCACCGTAAATATCCTGCGTACGAGCCTGAGTATACACTTATATAGTTGTCTCAATTTTAAGACTGTCTGTCATGAGTTCAACAAACTGAAAAATCCAATTCCATAATTGCTTAATGGGAGATCCAGGTATTATTTGTTTTTGTTTGCTATATTGTTATATTACAGCTTACGTCTGAGCATCTTACAAAAAACAAGTCCGTCGCTGCAACTTTCTTTATTTTATTTAATTTAGATACTAACATAATTTCATTTTTTATATTATGCCACAGTCAATTTTAGAACATAAAAATAATAACAGTAGTCAGGGGGACTGATGAAAGATGAGGCGCGAGTGTCCGAACTGAGCGAGAGTCTCAGGAAAGAGCCCTTTGTAGGGCCAAGTAGGGCCGGGTGCAAGGGAAGATTCTCCTGAACTCTAGCACCTTCATCATTAATTGAGTTGATTGATTACTTTTAATATTTAGCATGGTAATTTTCTGATAAGCTTTACAAAAGAATTTCTTTTACAAAACAATAGAGGGGGTGTACGCCCCATCTAAATCCGCCACTGGTTGTCTTCTATGAAACATTACTTCTATGTCAAGATTTCAAATGAAATTTGAATAAAAAGTGGTATCATCAGTGCTGAAGCTTACGATGGCACACAAGTACGATGGCCCACAAGGGACACACTGCAAAGAAAAAGAAATGCTGAAAACAAAAAAGAAACGCTGCAAACAAAAAAGAAATCATGGAAACAGAAAAGAAACGCTGCAAACAAAAAAGAAACGCTGCAAACAAAAATAGAAAAGATGCAAACAAAAATGGAAACGATGCAAACAAAAATAGAAAACAACAGCAAACAAAAAATGAAACGCTGCAAACAAAAAAGAAATGCTGCAAACATAAAAGAAACGCTGCAAACAAAAAATAAAAACACTAGCAAACAAATAAAGAAACGCTGCAAGCAAAAAATAAAAACACCAGCAAACAAATATAACGCTGCAAACAAGAAAGGAAATGCTGCAAACAAAAAAATGAAACGCTACAAACAAAAAAAGGAAACCCTGCAAACAAAATGGAAAAGCCTTTGCGCGCGCGCATTTCATATTAGTTGGCAACAGACTGAGGACAGGTCAGATGAGAGATGCTAAAAAGAAGACATTTTTGCCTGAATCCGAGTCAATTGAATGATTTACCCTTTATTCCAGTTCCAAAGCGACAACCAATGTTGTACGTCCACGGCTGGTGGCTGAGCGCGCCTTGGCGCTGCTACCCTCTAACGAAGGCTTGGCCTAGCGGTACGCGTATTTTGGGGACCTACAGAAACCTTGAATATTTCATTCAATAAACTTGTTCCATGTTAAAATAAACAGTAGGAATGTGGTATAGTGACGCATATGATGTGCAGACACCAACTTAGGATGGACGAGATTAAGGGCTTCGTTTTGTAGACACCCCTATATGGGTGTCAACAAAACGAAGACCGAAAAACGAAGACCCACATTTTTTTTTTCTCTCAATAGTAATAAAATAATGAAACATGTACTTGGCAACTGTTTTATGATGATTTTGAAATACTTTCAATAAGATAATTGAGAAATAATTGGAGGTCTTCGTTTTTCGGTCTTCGTTTCTTCGTTTTGTAGACACCCAT